GATCGTAGATCATACATATGATGCGGTTGTTGTAGGAGCTGGTGGTGCTGGGCTAAGAGCAGCAATAGGATTATCAGAGCATGGTTTTAACACGGCTTGTATCACTAAGCTTTTTCCAACTCGTTCCCATACTGTTGCAGCTCAGGTGCCAACATTTGCTTACTCTTGTTTTTAGCCTTATAATTAAGCTTGCTTTTGTTTTTGATTGAGTTATGAAATTTGTTGTGAAGGGAGGTATAAATGCTGCGTTGGGTAATATGAGTGTAGATGACTGGAGATGGCATATGTATGATACTGTCAAAGGAAGTGATTGGTTAGGTACGCTGATGATCTACTTATGTATACACAGATAAAACTTGCTTCTTTGTTACTCTACAAGTTACTTATTTCGGCAAGTTTCTATATTTATATGTAACTTGTGTTTTTTGGTTCTGTAGGTGATCAAGATGCAATTCAGTATATGTGCAGGGAAGCACCAAAAGCTGTGATAGAGCTTGAGAATTACGGATTGCCATTTTCTAGAACAGAAGATGGAAAAATATATCAACGAGCTTTCGGTGGCCAGAGTCTCGAGTTTGGAATAGGTTTTAATTGTTGACTTATTGAATCTCATGTATCTGTTTAATGTGGAAGATTACTTGCTTAACCTTCTCATAGTTATTTCTTTATCTCTGTGTTTTTTTCAGGTGGTCAAGCATATCGTTGCGCATGTGCTGCTGACCGCACTGGGCATGCTCTGTTACATACTCTGTATGGCCAAGCAATGAAACACAACACTCAATTCTTTGTTGAATACTTTGCCTTGGATTTGATAATGAACAGTGATGGTAAGGTCTAAGAAGGTTTATTAAGAGTATACTCTATATATTATCCATCATGTTGCAAAATCAATATTGTTGAATGCTTTTGGTGTATATGAATATATGATGAGCAGGAACCTGTCAAGGAGTCATTGCACTGAACATGGAAGATGGAACTTTACATCGTTTCCATGCGGGTTCCACGATATTGGCTACCGGGGTAAAGAGAACTTGTTGTGGCTCATAATGTATCTTGTTTTGAATTGGTGAACCACACAGTAATGAATCATGATCCATAAAATGACTTCAGGGCTATGGAAGAGCTTATTTCTCTGCAACTTCAGCACATACATGCACAGGAGATGGAAATGCTATGGTTGCACGAGCCGGGCTACCGCTTCAAGATTTGGAGTTTGTTCAGTTTCATCCTACTGGTATATATGGAGCTGGATGTCTCATCACTGAAGGTATTTGCTTCTTCCTGCATTAATCAAATCATTGAGGATTTAGACAGACATATATTGGTTCTTGACTTTATCAAATTTGAACATATAGGAGCTAGAGGTGAAGGAGGAATTCTCAGAAACAGTGAAGGTGAGAAATTCATGGATCGATATGCTCCCACGGCTAGAGATCTGGCTTCAAGAGATGTTGTTTCAAGATCAATGACTATGGAAATCCGACAAGGACGTGGTGCAGGTAAGATCATGACTCCTTTGAGACTCATGTATAAGAAATTAGTTTGAGTATATGCAACATTGTTCTTTAACAGGACCAATGAAGGATTATCTATACCTTTACTTAAACCATCTACCACCAGAAGTGCTTAAAGAGAGGCTACCCGGTATATCTGAGACCGCAGCTATATTCGCTGGTGTCGATGTTACAAGAGAGCCAATTCCTGTATTGCCTACTGTGCATTATAATATGGGTGGTATTCCCACAAACTACCATGGAGAGGTAAACTAAACGATTTTAATTAGTGTAAGAAGAAATGGATATGTTCAGTTTTTAAAAGTGTTTTGGTGCATCTATGTGAGTCTCAGGTGATTACTCTTAGAGGTGATGATCCAGATGCTGTAGTTCCTGGACTAATGGCTGCAGGAGAAGCAGCTTGCGCATCGGTTCATGGCGCTAATAGACTTGGTGCAAATTCACTTCTTGACATTGTTGTTTTTGGAAGAGCTTGTGCAAACAGAGTTGCAGAGATTCAAAAACCTGGTAAGCAATATCTCTATCTGACTAACTATGCTTCTTCTATGCTTCTTGATGCAAGAATATCTGAAAGATCTCTGCTTTTTGGTGTATATAGGTGAGAAACTGAAACCTCTAGAGAAGGATGCGGGTGAGAAGAGTATCGAATGGTTGGACCGAATAAGAAACTCAAACGGGTCACTTCCAACTTCTAAAATCCGCTTAAACATGCAAAGAGTAATGCAAAACAATGCTGCTGTTTTCCGTACACAAGAAACACTAGAGGAAGGTAACCAACACTGAAACTCTACCGTATGATAAGAACTCAAGAAGTTTTAAAGTGAATTTATTGGTAAAAGGTTATGATTATAGGTTGTGATTTGATTGATAAGACGTGGGACAGTTTTGGTGATGTCAAAGTGACTGATCGGAGTATGATATGGTGAGACTTTACTTTAAAACGTTGAAAAGCTAGTCTTTAGGCTAATTACTAAAGTTTATGTAATTGGAAACTTTGCATTTTAGGAACTCGGATTTGATAGAAACTATGGAGCTAGAGAATCTTTTGGTTAATGCATGCATAACAATGCATTCTGCTGAGGCTAGGAAGGAGAGTCGAGGAGCACATGCTCGTGAGGATTTCACGGTTAGTTCTATTTTCCTTAGACAACAAAAATTGTCTTAGTCGAAATGTGGATAACGAAAAGAGACTTTGGTATGGTTGTTATGCAGAAACGGGACGATGCAAATTGGATGAAGCACACATTGGGGTAAATATAGGCCATCATAGATTAATCATAGATATTTCATAGTTAAAACTGAAAAGTAAAATTGTTAGTAAATGCTTTAGCAATCGAGAAATGTAACTAATGGTCCTGTTTTTTTTTTTCCATATATGTGTTGAAAGGTATTGGGAAGAAGGGAATGTGAAATTGGAGTATAGACCAGTCCACATGAAGACCTTGGATGATGAGGTTGACACTTTTCCTCCTAAACCTCGTGTTTATTGACATTTCTTCAACTTTTTAGTTCAAGAAGGCCACAATGTTACCCAGCCCAATAAACATCTGTATCCCACAAAGCCCAAGAAGCAACCTGCAAAACAATTACGCAGGAAAATTATGTGACAAATCACCTTTTCTAATTTCTTTCCTATTTTTCCGTAAAGCAAACCGCCTAGCTTTAAATGAATAATTGACCCGAAACGCACGCAATGTCCCACGCGGTCGAATCCGAACCGTTGAGATCTTATCTAACCGTTTAATCGAGACCGTCCATCTCTTGTAACCCTCTATATATAAGAGATAAATCGTGCTAGGGTTATCTCATCACCGCCTCCATATTCTTTCGCGTCTTTTGCTTCCTCCCTCTTTTTCGTCAATGTTTTCTTTAGATCTAGCTTATATGGCGACGATTTTGTTCTTTCTCGCTTCTAATCACCGTAGAGATCCTCCCGATCTGCAAATCCGATCCGAATTCTCAACGAATTTGTAGATCTGATCTGTGATTCCATCGTTGACGACGGATCTTCGCTTACATCGTTAGATCTGACGCAGATCTGCCGTTTTCTATAGGTAAAATCTTTCCTCCTTGTACCGTGAGCTTTTCTTATGGTCGTTTTCCATAACCTTGTTATGTAATCGCGAATATTGTTCTTGATTATCAGATCTAGATCTGGATCGTCCTTCGCGGCTTCTTCATACGCAAGATTCTGTGAATTGATCAAGTTGAGGCATCATTTCTGGATTACTAGGAGACGAATCTGTTGCAGACGGATGTGTGTGTGTTGGATTGAATTGAGATTAGGGTGTAGAAGATGTTTTGTGGATAGCTAATAGCTTCCTGATTGCATCTCTGTCATCCGACCTTTGCCATGTCAGGTGCGCTTGCATGGCAGGTCAAAAAACTGATCCTCAATAAAAAAAAGATTTTGTGGGTTTTGGAGAGGAGGTCGCACGGGTTATTATTTTTTCCCGGGATCTCTTCTCCTCTGTGTGTGTCGTCTTGCCTCTGCTCTATCTCTCTCCCTGCTCTTTCACATTTCATATCTTTCTTAAATGCTCATATACACTCAAAAACCGATCATAAGCAGAGTTTGCGACCAATATGGAGCAGTGGGGCGATTACAAATCTTCTTGCCCAACAACCTCGAGAGTTAAATCAGGTACTCATATCCATATTAAATCGAATTCTTAATTAGCATAATAAGGTAAACAATCTGCAAGAAGAATTCTGGATTTAAATAAACCATAATCCGGTTGCCCTAATTGTTAACTTGTATCAACGCTTATGCGAATCATGAATTTTTAATTTTATTGGTTTTGTTATTTATCTTATTGATCAATTATTGTTTTACAAGTTGTCATTTAATCTATTGAAAATGATGGTATTAAGAATTGCTGTTAAACAATTTTGCGGGTACTTTGTATGTATCATTGGTATTGTTTTATTATTTCTATCCGTTTAGAAGCTTTTTAGAATATGGTAAAGAACATTTGTATTTGCTCGTAGTTTGTATATGTCTGTAACCACCAGTTCCTGTAGTAACTATGAAGCTGGTAGACGACGGAATTGAAGCTATGCAAAGCTGACGTTGGTTTTTTCTGAAGTTGATTTGTTCTTGAAAGGTATCTTGATCAAAAGATAGTATCTGGTTATGTGCTAAGTCAAAAATTCCTGATATTTATAGTTCATTACATTTTATTTTCTTAGTTTATTGTGGCCTGTTGTGGAAGAGAACAATCATTATAACATTTTATATAATGAGAAAAGCTTATTGCAATTTTCCTATCTAGTCTCTTGTTCTCGTGAAATTGTGTCTTGAAAACAGTTTAGCATCACCGTTCATGTTTAGTCAAGTTCATCTTATGGTCTTCAATTAGAAGTTGTTTAAATATTGAATTCTCTAAAAACAGAAATATTTTTAATATGTGATTAAAATAGAGTTAAAGAGTCAAGTGTTGGTCCTATTGGCTGTGGGCCGTAGTGGTAGGGTATTCGTGATATAGATCTGTAAGCTCAAATTGGTAGAGCGCTCGTTTTCTTCTAGTGGACGAGAGGTTGGTGGTTCGAATCCACCCAGTTCTGGTTATTCGTCATTTTTAAAATAAACTAAGTTATTCAACTTTTGAAATGATGATAATATTTAATTTATTTTCTCTTACCTTTCGACTGATAGTTCTCCTATTATTACGTGAATTTATTAATTTTCAAAGAACAGAAACATTTTCTTCTTCCATTTGTTCCAATATCCTCCCTCCTGCTTGAAACAACCTTTTTTATTGCTCTTTGTGATCAACAGGATTGTCCCACACTGAACTCTGGAAGATGTACTATTTGCTTAACGTGACTAGTGTTGTGTTGCTTTTGAATTGCGGATTTTGCAAGCGACGGGGAATTTAGGAAAGAGAAGATGGGAGTTTATGATACATGGGGTTTGATTGTTTCGACGGTATCTTGCTTTTTTGTCCGGTTTGATCTTGAATATGTTACATTACACTGCAGTATACTGTTGAAGATATGATTGATGCTTCTTTTGTTGAAGCTCATGTTATATAGAATATAGAATAATAGTTGAACGATTAATTATGCGGTGAATTTATTTGCCTCGAAGAGTCAAGACTCAAGACTGTTATTAACTTTATAGAGGTTATACCTTTCTAGGAATCTTGTACAAAAATGCAATAAAAATCGTACTGTTACTTCTATATATAATACATTCAACCCGGAAACATTAATTAAACGTAATTTCATATACTATCTTTCATAATTTTATTGGTATTGTTGGTAACGTTACATATTCAATTGCTCTCAGTTTTACGTCATAGTTCATTAAGTCCCCTCCAATTCTGTTGTTACCATATTTAAACCCATTGCCTAACTTCCATGAGTAAAAAAAGAAAACTCTTTTACTTCTCTCTTCATTCTTTATTTTATATGCAAGTACGATGCCTATTTAGTGAATTGTATAATGAAAAACAATACCTTTTCAGACCTAATGTTTACCAGGAACCAAACCAACAAGTACTACAAATTGGATAAACACTAAAACAAAGATCGACGAGTTGCAAATAACGTATAACATTCTCTTTCTTTTGCCTTTTATTAATTCCAAAGAAAATAACCACAATTACTCTCATAAAAGTAAAGTATTATAAACGAAATCAAATGAAACAGCGACAGAGTTTTTAAGGACACTTTCTGCGTCCTTCGTGGGTGGTTAGGCTACCATAGCACGGACATTTGTCGTAGTTTCCGGATGTGCCCGGTGGCACGCAGTTGCACCTAGCGCAGCAAGTCCCGCACGCTCTGTGACAAAGATTTGGCCTACTCGAAAGACTGCACCGCTCTTGGCACCTGCTGTTGCAATCTACAAATACATACAATTTCCAACCAAAACTTTAATAAACACACGTATATAGAATTTCAACGTACGTGTATATATATGATAGAGATATCATGTAATTACCGATTTTAGGGGCGTCATTCGACGTCTGCATGAATATTTTGAAAAAATCTATTAGAACGTAGACAAAAGTTGTGAAAAAATAAAATCAAATAAGAAAATATATTTGGTTGTTAAAATTGTACCACCATATCGGCATGGACGAAGTCGAGGACAAGAAGAGATATGAGAAGAGAAGCAAGCAAGACTCTGAATACAGCCATACTAGTGATCAGAGAAAACAAAAGAGGAGACAAAATGACAAATGAATGTTTTTGGTTGTTGCTAATTATAAAGGCGTAGAAGATGGGGCTTCTATTTATACATTAGGTTTAATGTAATATTATTAGTCACTAACAAATGACAATTAAAGAATATTAAAACTATAAGAACTTTGGTCAAAATGGTTTTATTGTTTCTTATCACATTTTATTTGTTTTGGTCAACACATTAAGATGTATGTAACCAATATTTCTTTATCCTTTTGTGAAATCAAAACAATTTCAAGGATTTAACATTCATTTCCTAAATTAAATATATAATATGCCTTTACAAGATCATTTTCAAATAAATTTCAGTCTACTTTCTTTTGTTGGTCAATGCAGATGTATATACACCAACTTAAGATTTGTTTCGGTTTTTAGAATTTATCTTTTTACTAATTGAATCTGTCCATTTTAGTTTTTTTTTTGGTCTTATCCTTCTTCCTCAGTTACCCATTGGCAACTCCAACCAGAGCACCAAAGTTGGTGTTGAAATCACACAAAATTTGGTGTTATAGTGTCCCATTTTTTTTTCTCATCTCCAACCACAACACTAAATTTACAATAAATACTATTATTATCTATAATTATATTATTAAATATAAAATTCTTTTATTTTTTAATATATTTCATAAATACTATTATATTATGTTTTCAGTGTTATTTGAACCTTTAGTTTTTAATCTCAATTAGTTTCATATTTATTTAGATATCTTGTACAAATTAATATTTTATATTAAAAGTGAATTCATACAAAAATATTAATGGTATATTTGTCTTTAGTTGGTAAATAACAATTAAATTATCTTACTTAAAACAAAATACAAATTAGATAAAATAAAAATTTGGTGTTTTATGAACAGTCCTATTGGAGCAAGACTAACACCAAAATGGTGTTTTGGTGTCAAGTTGGAGAAGCCCTTAGGTGTGCCCAAGATAAAGTTTTATACATATATGTTGTATCCAAAAATAAACTGAGCAAGCTCTTTCTTCATACTATAATCAATTACTATTTGATAGATATGTGTTGATGATCATTATGCAGCAACAAACACAATAAACAACTCAAGAATAATAGAAGATGAGATCATTACTGTAACAATTATAACTGTAATACACATCTAATAACCAATCAAATCTTCTATTTAGTGTACAAAGTTGGATACTAAGATCCCAACTATTGCCAAAACCAAAACTGGAGCTATTCTCTGGTCTTACAAGTGTAAATTAAGAACCTTAAATGTCCAAATCATCATCAGGATCTTCATCAGAATCAGGATGCTCATCGTCTGAATCTCTGAAATATATAATCTCACCACCCTTACCCGACGAAACCACATCGGTCTGCAACTCCATTGACGACAATGGTGTTGTCTCAATCTTGCCATCCACAAGAGATCTCCTCCCATCATAGATCTCGTTCGATTTTCCATCATCTGAAGAACAGAGAAGTATCAACAACATGTTTTATCCACAATCTCAAAAGGCTTCACAGTATCTACACTCACCTTGGTGCTCAAAAGGAAGCACAACTTTTTCTTTCTCGACCCGTTCTTTCTCAGACAACTGGAGATTGAATTGAACCTGAACCAAAAGAAACAATTATCTTATGCCATACAACTTACGAACAAGAGATCACATTATAGCAAGAGACACAGACCAAGTAATTAAAAAGCAGATCTAGGTAACTTGCCTTAGGCAAAAGGCTTTTAGTGGCTGCAATAACAGTATCCACAGAGGAAATGGGTGAAAAGTTTATCCCCGATTGATCAACATGATATTCTTCAGACTGTAGGTAAAGAGTTACAAGAGTGTTAACTAAACGAGAATGATAGGGCATAGAGAGCAGAGCAAGAGAAAACTTACCATTACTCTCACACGTCCTTTTCTAAGCTTAAACCGGACATGAAACCGTCCTTTACCGAAATCCTGATGAACCGAAAAGAGGTTTTCTAAAGCATTCCTTTGCCCATCTGAAGATGGACACAAAGGTTCTAAGTTCGCTTTCATTGTGGATATATATTCAAGCGCATTTGTGACCTTCTCTTGGTGAAGGTCAGTGTTCAATGACCAAAAGACACTGGAAATTTGCGCTGCACCGAAAAAAATCAACCTTTGTAGTTAAACCTAACAAGGAATAAAACTAATAAACTAGTGCTCAGGTTTATGTAGCAAAGTACCATGGCTTCGAAGATCTGTTAAAAGACCAGAAACTAATGGCATCGCTGAATGTCTTAGCAACTCATTTACCTGATTCAAAGTTTAGATATATAATCACTTCTCTTTTCTATAGATGATGTCTAAACAATTAGAGCTTAACTCACCGAATCAATGGCAACGCAGAAACGTGTCTTCCCAGTTCCAACCAACTCTGCACCAAAGCAATCACTTTTAATCTCATATAATCCTTTAGATAAAGATCTAACTGAAAAAGGATTCAATGTAAAAGAAGTACACCTCTTCCTGCTTCAATGATTGAAGAAAAAAGCTTTTTCAAGTCACTCACACACTTATGTAACTTAATCAAACTTGAACCTTCACTAAAACTAGTTGAAGATTGATCAATCCATCCCAATGGATCAGTGTAACAATCCAAAATACGAATCCTTCAAATCAAAACCAATTGTTATCAAACAAGTATCACAGTGATTCGAGCAATCAAACTACTCCACAAGCTAGGATAATATTTAGAAAACCTAATAACTCACCATTTAGAAGATGAAGAGACAACGATTCCTTTTTGCTTCAACAATTGCAAATAGAATGAAGGGCTCCGCGAGAATGTGATCAACACAAGACCCCTGAATCGCAAAGTGGGAAAAACGAAGACTTTAGCAGTAATGAAGCAATTGGAGATCGAATATAGAAGAATTAGGGTTTAAGAGTATACTGCGACGAGGATTTTCCAGCTAAAATTGAAGAAGATAGATTTGTGAGAAGATAGCCGGAGACATCGAGTCCGAAAGGGGAAGCTACAGTTTCTTCTATAGTGAGAGCTGGTGCGAGTTCGCCTTCTTCGCCACCATCTCTGAGCTTTCTGAAAATCGATTCCGCCATTGTTGAGAGATTCTAGAGCTCTCCGGTCAAAAGAGCGGCGAGGAAACAAAACATCGAAAAGTTAAAAAGGGTTTTTGGGCTTTATGATGTAGCCCACTGGGCTTTGTTCAAAGAAACACTCGTTGGAGGAATAAACATCGTGCCGTTTTTTTAACATGGATAAAACGTCAACCACTTTGTATGCTTCTCAAAGAAACGAAATTAAGAGAAGGAGAAGGTTTTACGCCGGAGTTGGAGACTGATCTAGATCCGCCGGCGAAAAAGCAGAGCCGTCACATTCATCGTCGGAAATCAAGAAAGGTATTAACTGTTCCTTATAATCG